AATTGCAACTGCTGAATTGTCTCATTCTTCTGATAATCAAATTCTGCAATATATTTGTCAATCTATGCTACCAAAGCCTTCTTTAGCAAGATACTTTATTTTGGTCGCAATTTGGTATATGTCTACTTCTTTTATTCTATGAATATCTTGGTATTGTAATGAATTAAAACTTTAATTTCTTTATTTTTGCTTTAAACTTATATTTTAGTCGGTATTTTTCCCCTTCGCACATAATTTAGTTGTATTACTCTATCTATTTTGATAACAGTAACCGATCCAATTAGTAATTAGAATTCTAAAATCATAACTAATAGTGGCTTGAAGGCTTAGATGCATGAAAATCAAATGCATCACGTAAATATTGAAATTTCATGTATACTAAAGCTTGCACCCTGAAATCATACCACATTTATGTGAATTTTAGTAGAATACGCTAAGATTTCTTTGTATATGCTTAGATCTCAGCATAAATCTTTAGATTATAGCGTAAACGTTCTAAACCTCCAAAATGTATATAAGCTCTTTGAATTCAATCAAAATCGATAGTTCTCATCCATTATGAATTACCAATAAATAATAAAATAGATCTACTTATCTGAATTTTCTCTTGTAATGTATTCTTTGAATTCGAATTGTAACTTTAATAAACCTTTTCGAGACTTAATTCGATGGACTAAATTGATTTGTAACTTTGATTTGGCTTATTAAGACTCAGGTTCTGGAATAGTTGTAGAATCAGATATTGTCATTTACATTAGTGACTTTGACTTGTGGAAATTATGGTAGAGAATGATATTTATGATTGGTTATTCAACTCTGATAATCCATCACAGTCCTTAAGATAACTACTTTATCATCACCCTTAACAGTATCACTTGTAGTTGCATTACTCTAATTATCTACTAATAATATTGAAGTATAGCGTTTTATTGTTCAACTAGCCTCTGTCAGTTATAAAAGACCCTCTTCGCTTATTTTAATTTATCATCATCTCTCCGTATACCATTGGAGTTAAATTTGCTCTTATTCTATATCATTTATATAAGCTCTCCTATCAACTATCATCAGTTATATCCTATATGAGTACTATAAAGGAAAATAAAGCTTCTGGGTTTTTAATTTTATCATTAATTTTTACCAGATTCAGCTTTACTAGTAACATATATAGTTGATACTGTCTAAATGCATACCATCGGTAGATACAAAAAAAAATCAATTTTATGCATTTAAACAGTATTAACCAATCAAATACTAGAAAATTTATTGTCTAAATGCATATTACTATTAAATTTTTTTAAAAAATTATGCATTTATACAGTATGCAGTATGCATTTAGACAGTATAAACTGTATAATAAAGTTTTTATAAGCTGAATTTAATAACTAACAAACAACAAACTTAAAAGCCTAAGGCTTTATTTTTTTTAACCGTACTAATATGCATTGATATTAATCGATGATATATTCGGTAATGTATTGATCAGTAAAGAATCAATTTGTGATGAGTAATAGTAAACATCATTATACAATGTGTAAAAATAAAGTAATAGTAGTATTTGTAACTACAAAAAGAATGAGTAAGTGCAGTAAGTATTTTTTATTAAAATTTGAAAAAAAATACTGCCCAAAAAATAAACTACTTCTCAGTTATCCTTTAAAGAAAATTATATCTACAAATATGCTACCACCTCCTCCTGCAACATATCAAAGTGCTAAGGAACATCTCCAAAAATGTTCAAGTATTCACCAATTCTCAAGGTTACGTGTTGGTTAAAAAAAATTGCGTAAAGATCGGTGTAGTAACTTAAAAAATATAACATTGCATTGTGATCGGGGTAGAGTTTATAATAGCTCAGGAACACAACAAAGACAAACAAGCACTCAGTTAATCAATTGTCCTTTTGAATTAAAGGCTGCTTAGCATGATGGTAAATGGTACGTAAAGGAGGTTTGTAATTGTGATCATAACTATGATCTCTTTGAAGATATATCAGGACATCCAATAGTTCATCAACTCACAAAGCAACAACTAGATAATGTTACAGAGATGACTGCCTCTGGCTCATGCTCTAGAGAAATAATATCAACTATCCATCAAAATAATCCATCAGCATTTGCGATAAGTAAAGACATTTATAATATATGTGAATGATTCTGCCAACAAAATTTGGCAGATCGTTCTCCTGTTAAAGCATTAATCGATGAGCTTAAAGAGGTAATTACATGTATAAATACAAATATAATGATATTGGTCAAATTACCCACCTTTTCTTTGTACATAATGAATCAATTAAGCTTATTCGTCGATATTCGTCTGTTCTTCTTATGGATTGTACTTATAAGACAAATAAATATAAAATACCTTTGTTAAATGTTGTTGGAATAACCTGTTTCAATACTACTTTTTTTCATGTTTCATCTTTATGAAAGATGAAGAAGAAGAGAATTATCTCTGGGCACTAACTTGCGTTGCTCAATTGTTCGATAGTATAATATGACCAGGTGTCATAGTAATGGATAGAGAGCTAGCTCTTATGAATGCTCTCCGAATAATCTTTCTGAATTCGACTAATTTGTTATGTTTGTGGTATATTAATAAAAATATAATGAAGAACTATAAATTACAATTCAGAGATAATAAATAGCAAGCCTTTCTTTCAGAATAGAATAATATCATTCAATCACTAATGGAAGAAGAATTCAATACAAAATGGAATGAGTTTTATAATAATTATACAAATAAACCCAATGTTGTAAGCTATCTTGAAAAAACTTGGATGCCTTGGAAAAAAAAATATATAAAAGTGTGGACAAATAAACTTCTTTATTTAGAAACAACTGTTACTTCTCAGGTTGAAGATGCACATGCAACTATTAAAACATACTTTCATACATCAGCGGGAGATCTTTATGACGTTCGTATAAAAATTTCTCTGGTGGTAAAGAACCAAAAAAAAGAAATAGGTACCATGGTAGCATCAGAAAAAATTCGTTTTCCGATTTTTGCACAAAAAAATTCCTTATATAAAAATATTAAAAGCAAAGTTTCAACTTTTGCCTTTAAAAAGGTAGAAGAGCAGTATCAGAGAATTACACAAGAACCTTTACCACCGTGTACTGGTTCTTTCTCAAGCACAATGGGGCTACCATGTGCTTATAAAATTCAACTTCTTGAAAATTATCAAGGTTTAATGCTTGATGATTTTTATGAACATTGGTGGATTCAAACCTGCTCACCAATACTACCTGTTGAGAAAAACAACAAATTACTACCTCTTTTGCAAGCTCTACAAGAAAGGTATGAAGAGTGGCCAGAACACCAGCAAGCAACTGTCCAGGAAAAATTAAACAGCATTATTAATACCTCAACAACGGTCTTGCAGAATCTTCAAGTTGTTCATACTAGAAGAAAACCTCCTGGTACCTCTAATCACAAAACAAATAATTCAACCAGAAGAGATCCTTCTGGGTTTGAGTTAATTGAATATAGGGTAAGACGATGCACTCTCTGCAAACAGTCTGGACACTATGCCAGTACTTGCCCAGCTAAAATCTAATTAGCAAATATTAAGTTATAAATATGAATGCAGTATGTTAATAACTTGTATCTGTGTTATCTAGCAATTAGGATTAGTGTAATAGCGGAACGTATGTAAGTGTATGGTTTATTAGATTATACACTTGTACAGATCAAGATTTTTTTCATGACACTAATTTTGAAGATCAATTTCTTACGCATGTCTACTATAGACTAGTTTTGTGTACTTTCTCGTTAGCTACAGGTTTTTCTTTGTTAGGATTATTATTGCATATCGATATGATTATAAAGTGGCAAACTAATTATATAGTAATATAATTTAATTTCTGGATTTACTCAGCTTTACTTTTTATTACCAAGCGATAACAAGTATATGCTTATTCAATTTAAAATGGAAAGCAACAATAGACAGGACTAAGGTTTAGTTTTCTTATTATAACAGAAAAAAAAACTGGAATGATATTTACTAGCTTATACAGTATATGAATTGTAGTGTTAAATCCAATTATACATATTATATTCCTGGTTTTAGCGTGACTATGTCGTGCAATTATCCTAATTAATATTAATACTTATTCAAATAAAATATAATTTTTGGATTCTCTTGACATGTTTTATAATACTGCAGAGCTATTTTTTAATTTTTGTATTTTAAAGCGAAATTAGCTACAAAAAAAACATGATGTTAATATAGTAAAATGAAAAGGTGACTCTGTTAATATTATAAAACATTGTTAAGAGAAATCCAAAAATTATATAAATTTCATATATACTTCGAAAATTTTTAGCTCTACATCAACAGTTTGTTAATTATTTGATATCATACACCCCAATCTGTTAATATCAAATATGAGTACAGTGTTTAAAATTCAAAAAAAAATTTACGTATACAAATGTATTTTGTGCATCTCTTTTTAAAAATTTTACATGCACACTTAATAGATTTTTAAAAAATTCAAAAAAAATCTAAAAAAATTTTATGCATATATGCATTTTGTGCATGCCAATTTTAAACTCTGTATAAGTATCACATTGGTATCTACTGCTTTATACCTTACTGTCAAATCTACCCAACTATTCATAGTTTGGGCTACATTTTCTATATATGATGCTAATTTTGCACCAATTATTTATAACTTGTTGACCAAAAGTTTAGTTTAAATTATTTAGTCCTGCTAATTAGCATTAGTATTAACGTTAGATCATGATCTAAATTAGCCATATTGTTATTTTTGTATGTTTTTTAAGAGTATGTACAGATGGGTGTGAGCAGTTGCAGTAGTCTAATATTTAATAAAATGGACATATACAACTTGATTATATAGTAATAAAAAAATACTATATTA